TCAAACCGGGAAAATGATTTCCTTCCGCAGTGTTCTACCTGCAGATGATCTACCTGCAGATGATCTACCTGCAGATGTTCTACCTGCAGATGTTCTACCTGCAGATGATCTACCTGCAGATGTTCTACCTGCAGATGATCTACCTGCAGATGATCTACCTGCAGATGTTCTACCTGCAGATGATCTACCTGCAGATGTTCTACCTGCAGATGTTCTACCTGCAGATGTTTAACCTGCAGATGTTCTACCTGCAGATGTTCTACCTGCAGATGATCTACCTGCAGATGATCTACCTGCAGATGATCTACCTGCAGATGTTCTACCTGCAGATGTTCTACCTGCAGATGTTCTAAGGTTCCCTCTGGACCATCTGTCCACTCTGAGGAGCAGCCAGCTGCAACGCTTTTATTTTGAAGGGCCAAGGTGGGTTTCCGGTCGGTAGTGAGTATAAAGCTGCTGGAGTTCTGCTGGAGGTCCAGAAGCTCAGCATGCGGGACCAGAGCAGCTGGAGCTCCGGGTTCGGAGCCGCAGGTCGCCGTAAAGCGGCTCCTTCCCCCGCGGAGCAGAGGAGGCAGCTGCAGGGAGGAACCAGCAGGAGGTGGCTCCGCATGGCGACGGTTCTGGGCTACATGCTGGCGGTCTGCCTGGTCTCCGTCCTCCTGGTTCTTTACTACGGAGTCTTCTGGAAGCCCACCTCCGGTCCCGGAGCGCCTCCAAGCCGCAGCTGGAGCGCAGAGGAGAAGCGGAGGAAATGTGGAGGAACTCCCGACTGTTGGATCCATGGAGGCGGTTCCGCTCCAAGGGATTTTGGGAACTTTACCACCGGAGGAGGTTCCCCTCAGGCCGCCAGAAGCAGCCCAGAAGCGGCCGCTGTCACCCAGGAGGATCCGTCCAACCTGCCGACCCACCGGACCGGAACCGGACGGCTGGCTGTGGGTCCGGAACCAGAACCGGATCCGAGAAATTATCAATAGACTGATTTCTAGCAAAGGAAGGTTGGATGGACGACCCAGAAAGTTCTGAAGAACCTGAACAGAACCTGGACAGAACCCGGACAGAACCTGGACAGAACCCGAACAGAACCTGAGCAGAACCTGAACAGAACCTGGTGTGTCCTCAGAGATGGACTGGAGGCTCTATCTCCTCTGAAGGTTCTAACTATGATTTTCTATCTGCAGAATGTAGATAAACATTTATTATTATAAAAAGTTTAAGACAAAAACAAAAATGATGAGAAATTGAAATTCTTCCTGGTTGTTCTAAAATTGAAGCTTCCTGTTTTCTTTGTTTATCTCGTTTATCTGCAGTTCTTTGTTTTTTCTAATATTTTATTTTATAATAAATCTGCATTTTGAATATTTGACCTTATTACATTTTTTAAAATAAAATAAAATGACTATAAACTACTTTCCTTGAAATCTTTCGTGTTTTTACTCATAATTCTTGTAATCATTTAGATGTAAAAAGATTCTATTCAGTCTATTTCTATAGCTCCAATTCACATCATGTCATCTCAGGTCACTTTATAGATCCAGATCATCCAGTCAGATTGATTCAAAGTTTTCTATCTAAGGAAAACCAGCTGATTGCATCGACTCATTGACTCTTCAGCAATCCCTCACACTAAGCATGCTTGTAGCGACAGTGGAGAGGAAAAACTCCCTTTGAACAGGAAGAAACCTCCAGCAGAACCAGGCTCAGTGTGAGCGGCCATCTGCTGAGGCCCACTGGGGTTCAAGGAGACAGAAGCAGACATAGAAAAAGAAGCATAGATACAAAAGGCAACCAGCTCCACAGGCGGCCCCGTCCAGGAAACACACAGCCAGGCAGACGAGCTCCGAGCCAGCTCCCATGTCAGAGGATGAAGAGAGCACATCCAGTTAGTCACAGTCAGAGAAACAGGACTACACTGGAAAACAGGCCAAGCTCCAACATCTAGAAACAAAAGCCAGCTCCCATGCTGTATCTTTTATATATTTTAGTGATCTACAAATGGAACAATGAAGAGGAGAGTGCTTTAATAAATGTTAAAATGGCCTGCCATATCTGTCTTTTAATCACATTCTCCTTTTTTTTCTTTATTTCTTTAGTAAAATCTCTAGTTCCAGTGGAGAGAAATGGATTTGTTCTACCAGCCTGGTTCTACCAGCCTGGTTCTAACTGGTTCTACCAGCCTGGTTCTATCTGGTTCTACCAGCCTGGTTCTATCTGGTTGTACCAGCCTGGTTCTAGCTGGTTCTACCAGCCTGGTTCTAACTGGTTCTACCAGCCTGGTTCTAGCTGGTTCTACCAGCCTGGTTCTAACTGGTTCTACCAGCCTGGTTCAGGGCTGGTTCTATCTGGTTCTACCAGCCTGGTTCTAACTGGTTCTACCAGCCTGGTTCTAGCTGGTTCTACCAGCCTGGTTCTGACTGGTTCTACCAGCCTGGTTCTAGCTGGTTCTACCAGCCTGGTTCTGACTGGTTCTACCAGCCTGGTTCAGGGCTGGTTCTAACTGGTTCTACCAGCCTGGTTCTAGCTGGTTCTATCAGCCTGGTTCAGGGCTGGTTCTAACTGGTTCTACCAGCCTGGTTCTAGCTGGTTCTTCCAGCCTGGTTCTAACTGGTTCTACCAGCCTGGTTCTACCAGCCTGGTTCTAACTGGTTCTACCAGCCTGGTTCTATCTGGTTCTACCAGCCTGGTTCTATCTGGTTCTACCAGCCTGGTTCAGGGCTGGTTCTACCAGCCTGGTTCTAACTGGTTCTACCAGCCTGGTTCTACCAGCCTGGTTCTAACTGGTTCTACCAACCTGGTTCTGACTGGTTCTACCAGCCTGGTTCAGGGCTGGTTCTAACTGGTTCTACCAGCCTGGTTCTAGCTGGTTCTACCAGCCTGGTTCAGGGCTGGTTCTAACTGGTTCTACCAGCCTGGTTCTAACTGGTTCTACCAGCCTGGTTCAGGGCTGGTTCTAACTGGTTCTACCAGCCTGGTTCTAACTGGTTCTACCAGCCTGGTTCTGACTGGTTCTACCAGCCTGGTTCTAACTGGTTCTACCAGCCTGGTTCTGACTGGTTCTACCAGCCTGGTTCAGGGCTGGTTCTAACTGGTTCTACCAGCCTGGTTCTAGCTGGTTCTACCAGCCTGGTTCAGGGCTGGTTCTAACTGGTTCTACCAGCCTGGTTCTAACTGGTTCTACCAGCCTGGTTCAGGGCTGGTTCTAACTGGTTCTACCAGCCTGGTTCTAACTGGCTCTACCAGCCTGGTTCTGACTGGTTCTACCAGCCTGGTTCTAACTGGTTCTACCAGCCTGGTTCTGACTGGTTCTACCAGCCTGGTTCAGGGCTGGTTCTAACTGGTTCTACCAGCCTGGTTCTAACTGGTTCTACCAGCCTGGTTCAGGGCTGGTTCTAACTGGTTCTACCAGCCTGGTTCTGACTGGTTCTACCAGCCTGGTTCAGGGCTGGTTCTAACTGGTTCTACCAGCCTGGTTCAGGGCTGGTTCTAACTGGTTCTACCAGCCTGGTTCTAGCTGGTTCCGGCAGACAGAGAAAACCGTCCCTTCAGCCTTTTCTTAGTTTTCCTTTAGAAAAGAAGAAAATAAAAAGATGTTAAGCTTCAGGCAGAGTTCCCATTCCCCAGATTAATTCTGGTTTTAAAGATCATTTCAGAGTAAAATGAACCTTTAAGTGGAGCCTATCTTTAGTTTCAGAGAGCAATGAATGGACCTTGGTTATTTTAGGGGGAAATAAACTGATTTCTCTGGATTTTTCCCTTCAGGCTGAACATCATTCTATAAGTCTTTTACTTATTTATGATATTTATTTACAAACATTATTTAAAATCTTGTTTGTGCCTTTATTCCACAGAGGAGTAAAAATAATTTTAGATCTGTCACAAGTTGTGTTTCTGAAGTTCTAGCGCCTCAAAACTGAAGTGAAAAAGAGCTTCTGTGATTTAATGTTGTGTGGAGAGAAATTTAATGCAATGAGTCGTCCTCACGTGGTTTTAAGGATGAATGAACTCATTTGTTGCATAAGGTCTGAAAGGGAGGGCAGAGCGTCCACATCTGATCTCTGGACTGATTAAATATGCCAGATGATCAACTAACCGTTTGAGCCTTCTCCCTCTGCTATCAGTTAATAGTTTCCTGAAGGTCGATTTTAATCAAATTCAAGAGGAGGACATTTTTTCAAATCAACAAGTTTCCATCTGTTTATTTTGTAGAAGTCTTGTCTGAGCAGGTCTTGTTTTTTAATTTGGATCTGGTTTTCTGAATCTAGTTGAAAAATGCTGCGTCCTATTCGTACTCTGAAGTCAAAACTTAAAACCTTTAAATAGGAAATTTTAACCACAACGCCCCAAAAGACAAATTCCTGGGTAGAAAAGTTGGTTCAGCACGTGACTTAGAGAATGAAAGCGATCTTTAGAACCAGAACTGTCATGAATGGATCCAACATCTAGATCTAAAATAGCAGATGGGTGTATTGAAGCCCAGCTGTTCCAGTTTGCCCATCAGATGCTGTGGGATGATGGTGCTGAAAGCTGAACTGAAGTCCAGGAACAGCATCCATCGTGGGTGTTCTTCTCCTACAGGTGTGCCAGGCTCAGGTGGAGAGCAGCAGAGATGGCGTCCTCAGTGGAGCGGTTCCGTCGGTAGGCGAACTGGAACGGGTGGAATGTTGGCGGCAGACTGGAGACGATGTGTTCTTTAACCAGCCTTTGGAAGCACTTCATCATGATGGGAGTCAGAGCGACGGGCCGCTAATCATTGAGGGAGGCGACCTGAGGCCTCTTTGGGAATAATGGAGGCAGACTGGAAGCATGCTGGCACTATGGATTGGTCCAGCCAGGTGTTAAAGATGTCTGTGAGGACACCAGCCAGCTGATCTGACCACTCCTTATACACCTGCCCAGGTGTGTTATCAGGCCATGGGGCCTTCCTTGGGTTGACTCTCCTCAGAGTTTTCCTCCCTTCAGCTACGTCCAGGTTTAGTGGCTCCTCCCCCTGGTGTGGAACAGCTTTCACTGCTGGAGGCTGTTTAGTGCCTCAAACCTTCTAAAGAAGTTGTTCACTTCGTTTAGGAAGTCAGTGTTTGCTGCATCTACCGGGGGGGAGGGTGTGTTGCAGTCTGTGATCATCCGAATGCCTTTCCACATCCTCCTGATGTTGCTGTCATCATGGAAAAGATCCTGGATCTTCTGGCTGTGGTTCTGCTTCGTGATCTGATGGAACGGTTTAAGTTGCCATGTGCTGTCCTCAGAGCCTCTTTATGACCAGACTTGAAAGCTGAGTTCGTTGCTATTAGCGATTTCTGAACCTCTCCATTTATCCAGGGTGGTTGGTCGGCACGGGTGGTGATGTTCCTTTTGATGCTGACGTCCTCAATGCATCTGTTGATGTAGGCTGACACAGTCATGGCAGACTCATCAATATTTAATAAGTTATCATATGTTGCTGCAGCCTTGAAGATGTTCCAGTCAGAGCATTCAAAACAGTCCTGGAGTTTCTCCATGGCTCCCTCAGACCAAACTCTGACCTGCTTCACTGTAAGTTTAGCCCTGATCAGCTGGAGCCCTATATGCAGGAATTAGATGTTAGAGGCTAAATCCAGAGTGTTCTCTCCACATGTTGGTAGCCTCCCTGGTAAGGTCTATTCCGGGGTTCAGGAAGCAGAGTCCTAGTTTAACAGACCTCTCTGCAGCTTCTCTACTGTTACCCACTCTTTACTCCATCCAGTCAGTGTCTTTTGCACGACCAAAATCAAATGAATTAAAACCGATTCCCAAAGGAGTAAATCATGATAATCTAATAAAAATAAAAATAACTCCAATTGGGGAATAAGTTAAAACAATTAAATGTGGTCTGTTTAACATAAGATCTCTTTCCTCTAAAAGTCTACTAGTTAATGACTTGATTTGTGATAATCACATTGACTTGTGTTGCCTTACAGAAACCTGGCTGTAGCAAGAGGATTATGTGAGCATAAATGAGGCAACTCCTTCAAGCTATTTAAATTTTCACATCCCCAGAAGTTCTGGGCGAGGAGGAGGAGTAGCAACAATCTTCCAGTCTGACTTACTGATTACTCCCAAAACAATTAATACCTACAACTCTTTGATCATTTAACCCTTAATTTCCCTGATCCAAATTTCAAGGCAAGAAAACCTCTTCTTTTAGTAACTTTGTATCGTCCACCAGGTCCTTACTCTGAATTTTTAGATGAGTTTTCAGAGTTCCTTTCTGATTTGGTATTTGGGAGATTTTAACATCCACGCTGACATTGAAGGCAATGGCTTAAGTAAAGCATTTAATGCTATCTTGGATGCCATTGACTTTGCTAAAAATGTGATTACGGTAGTTCCACACATTCTCATCTTCATACTTTGGACCTTGTGTTGACATATATGCAGTATTTCCTCCCAACCATTTCCTCTCT